CTTTACTAAAAGAAGAAGATGAAAGATAATGGTCATATGATTGGAACAGAATTACTCACATTATCGAGGGACTGGGGAATCTTATACGATTTTGATGATTAGATCTTGCGTCGGGAGAAAGGCATTCATTTATCATTTCGTCTTTCTGTTTCTCTGTTTCCCTCCTTTTTCTCTCTTTATTGTTCTAAACTCTTAATCACATTTTCTTGCATGCTAAATTCGCTTGAACAGATAAAATGCGTTTTTCCCAATAATTAAGTTTACACATGTCACTGAAGTTATGGTTTTACACAGCTACTTCCTCTCTCTCTCTCTCTCTCTCTCTCTCTCTCTCTCTCTCTCTTCTCTCTCTCTCTCTCTCTCTCTCTCTTCTCTCTCTCTCTGTCTGTCTCTCTCTCTCTCTCTCTCTCTCTCTCTCTCTCTCTCTCTCTCTCTCTCCTCTCTCTCTCTCTCTCTCTCTCTCTCTCTCTCTCTCTCTCTCTCTCTCTCTCTCTCTCTCTCTCTCTCTCTCTCTCTCTCTCTCTCTCCCTCTCTCTCTCTCTCTCTTCTCCTCTCTCCTCTCTCCTCTCTCCTCTCTCCTCTCTCCTCTCTCCTCTCTTCCGTCAGCCCCCCCCTCCCTCATCAGCCTGTCTCCCTCTCCCTTCTTACATCTCTCTCCTTCTCCATTTCACTTATTTTCATTGCCATTCCCGTTGCACTTCTGAGCGAAGGACCGTCAACCCAGGTGTTCGCTCACTGGATTAACACAAATAGATTGAATGAATGCTTCCTCTACGTCCCTATATACACCTCTCATTTCTTCCTCCCTCTCCCTCTCCCTCTCCCTCTCTTTGCCTTTCTCTCTGCCCCTTTCATTCGCTTTGTCTTTCTCTCTGTTCCTTTCATTCGCTTTGCCTCTCTCTCTGTCCCTTTCAATTCGCTTTGCCTTTCTCTCTGTCCCTTTCATTCGCCTTGTCTTTCTCTCTGTTTTTCTCTCTCTCTTTATCATTCTCTCCACCCCTCTCATTCTCTTTGTCTTCCTCTGTGTTGTTCTCCTATTCGATTTCTTTCTCTTTATGTCTCTCATTCTTTCTGTCTTTCTCTCGTTGTCTTTCTCTTTCTATCCTTCTCACTCCTTTCACCTTTCTCTCTGTGCTTCTCACTCTCTTTGTTTCTTTGTCTTCCTCTTCCACCTTTTTTTCATCTTTTTTTCTCTCTATCTCTTTCCTTCTTTTTATATTTCTCCATATCCCTCGCTTTCGCTTTGGCTCCCTCTCTATTCCTCTCCTAATTTCCATCTTTCTGTCTGTCCCTCTCCTCCCTTTCTTCTCTTCTCCCATTCTTTGCCCCCCCCCCATTTATTTTCCTCTCTATCCCTCTCTCTTTCTTTTTGTATTTCTTTCTTTCCCTCTCTCCCTCAGTTTGTATTTCCATGTGTTCCATTTTTTCTTTCTTTCACTTTGTCTTTCTTAAGCATAGCGTACGTGCGCGTGTGTGTATGTGTATGTTTGTATGTGAATATTTACACAATAATCAAATGTAATTATACAATCACATTCACCATTTCCCTCAGTTTTCCCTTCGTCATCATTGCAACCTTTCTCCAACATTATCCACATCATTCCTTTATTACTCTCTCTCTGCCCTTCTCAATCCCTCGGCAGTTAGCGCGAGCACATTTCCCTCCCTTCCCCTCCCTTCCCCTCCCTTCCCTCCCTTCCCCTCCTTTCCTCCCTTCCCTCCCTTCCCCCCCTTGCCATGTCGTAAATTACTATGTAAAACGAGAGCAATACTCCTCCCCCTTACTTTTCCTTCATTCTGTCCCCTTTCTCTCCTCTTTCCTCCCTCCTCTTCTCCCTTATCTCCCTTTCTCCTTCCTCTTACCCCTTCTCTTCCTTCTCCCTCCTCCTATCCTCCACCCCCCCACTCTCCACCATACCCCGACTCCCCTCCTATATCCCCCCCACCCCCACCCCACCATCCCCTATTCAATATAACAAAACGTGTGACTGCAATATATAACGAAATGTACCACAGTGAGAGCGAGTGGTCGGCCAGCGCGTTGTATTGCAAGCGGCGATCTGTTCCCAGATTGCAATCAGCTGGTTTCTTTAGGCTGTGTCATGTTTCTGTCATGAGGAGGAGGTGGTTGTAAATAGGCTTAAGGTTCATGTTTTTCTTTTTGTATTTTCTAAAAATTGATAGGGATTTTGTTGTTGTTGTTGTTGGTATATTAAGGGTTTATATTTTTAGTTTTCGTGTGATGGTGTTATTTCTTACTGTATACGATGTGTGTTTTGTGTGCGTGTGTGTGTGTGTTGTGTGTGCGTGGTGTGTGTGGTGTGTGTGTGTGTGTGTGCGTGTGTGTGTGTGTGTGTGTGTGTGTGTGTGTGTGTGTGTGTTGTGTGGTGTGGTGTGGTGTGTGCGTGTGTGCGTGTGTGTGTGCGTGTGTGCGTGTGTGCGTGTGTCTGTGTGTGTGTGTGTGTTGTGGTGTGTGTGTGTGTGTGTGTGTGTGTGTGTGTGGTGTGTGTGTGTGTGTGTGTGTGTGTGTGTGTGTGCGTGTAGTGTGTGTGTGTGTGTGTGTGTGGTGTGTGTGTGTGTGTGTGTGTTGTGTGTGTGTGGTGTGGTGTTGTGTGTGTGGTGTGGTGCTGTGAGTTTTTGTGTCTTCTCTCTCTCTTCCCTTTCTCATTCCGTGTGTGGTATGCATTATATATCTGTTTTATACTTAGAAAAAGTTGCAGTAATCATGCAAATAAATATACAAATCAATAAAATACACGGAAATTGATATACCCTTCCCATAACGAATTTCAAAATACCGGGCGAGCGAAGCAGCTATTGATAACCAATGACAAATATAGAAGGCGCGAAATATGACGTCATCGCTTATCCTTGCCAGACGAGTTGGCGCCATTTTCTTGCTGTCGGTTAATGTCAATGCATTCATAAAATAGATTTTGTTTATCTTAAGTGTTTGTCTGTGCGTCTTGAGAGTGTATGCCTGGATAATTTTAAGGATTGTGGGTCTAATGGTTGGGTCCATGCCTGTGTTTATGTCTTTGTTGTCTGTCTTGCTTCTCGGTGTCTTTTCTTTTCTTTTCTCTTTCTTTCTCTTTCTCTCTCTCTCTCTTCTCTCTTCTCTCTCTCCTCTCTCTTCTTCTCTCTCTTTCTCTCTCCTCTCTCTCCTCATCTCTCGTCTCTCTCTTCTCTCTCTCTCTCCTCTCCTCTCTCTGTGTGTGTGTGTGTGTGTGTGTGTGTGTGTGTGTGTGGTGTGTGGTGTGTGTGTGTGTGTGTGTGTGTGTGTGTGTGTGTGGTTGATATCAAGATAAAGAGAGAGGGAGAGAAGGGAGGGAGGGAGGGAGGGAGGGAAGGAGGGAGAGAGGGAGAGAGAGAGGGAGGAGAGAGGGGAGAGGCAGAGAGAGCAGAGAGAAGGAGGAGAGAGAGAGAGAGAGAGAGAAGCAGAGAGAGAGAAAGATCAGCAGAGAGGAGAACAGACAGACCGAGACAGACACAGACAGACTGACAGAACAGTCACAGACAGCCAGACAGAACAGACACAGGACAGACAGAGCACAACATCCGAACGTGTGCCACTTAAACCTCGCCTTTAGACTGAGTAAGTGGCCCGAGACACAAATAACGTTAAGGCCCACTTTTTTTTCTGATCAGCTCTCGACTCTATCTAATTTTCCCCAAATCGTGTATATTTTTAATCCCTTCCTCTTGCTTTGGCTTACTCAGGGCACCTGGATATTTTTTTTTCTTTCTTTTTTTAATCAGTATTGCTTAGTTCTGTTTTTCTTTTCTTTTTTTCTTTTTTCAGTTTTCGTTACACAGCGATTTCCCTCCCTTCTATTGGTTTTTTTTTCTTTCAGCTTTTCGTTACTCAGTACACATCATTCCCTACAACGCACTCTCGCAGAGGAAGGGGAGCGGAGAGAAGGGAGGGGACAAGAAGGGAGGGAGGGCACGGGAGTGGAGGAGGTTGATCTGAGGGAGGGAGAAGACGAGAGGAAGCAGAACGAGAGCAGAGCACGAGACGGAGAGAGAGAGAGAGAGAGGAGAGAGAGAGAGCAGAGAAGAGAGAGAGAGAGAAGAAGAGAGGACAGATAGGAGAGAGACAGAGAGGAGAGAGAGACAGAGGAGAGAGAGGAGAGAAGAAAGAGAAAGAAAGAGAAAAAAAAGATAAAAAATAAAAAAGAAAAAAGAAAAAGATCACAATAGCTTAAAAAATAAAAAGAAAGTCAAAAAGTCAGAAACGACGAGAGGATAGAGAAAAATAAAAATCACAAAAGAAAAAGAAGAGAAAGAGAGAGATAAGATGTAAACAATAATAAAATAAAAACAAAAAGAAGAGGATTAAAAAAAAAAGAGAAAGAGAAAGGACAGAGAGGGAGGCAGACAGAGCGCAATACGTCACAAAACAACAGCCTGCCCGAGAATTACACAGCACCCCTCCCCTCCTCCCAGCCCGCCACACCCCTTTGGGCGAGTACCCTCGCACCTCAAGTTCGCGTCGACCCCAAGCTTCTCGGGTCGCCCAGCCGTGAGAAGGGAGATAAGCCCCTAAGACAAGGGTTTGCAAGCTAACAAGACGAGCCGCGGGAAGGAGGTGGAAGTAGGAAAGGAAAGGATAAGGATATACAGTGTCCCTACATGGAGGTGGCAAAGCAAAAAAAAAAAAGAAAAAAAAAGAAAAAGAAAAAAAAAGGCTATTACTATTTCGTTCAGCGCGACGAAGGAGGAGGAGGAGGAAGGGAAGGAGAAGGATATAAGTGCAACATGGAGGTGGCAATAAACAAAGAAAAAAAAAAAAAAGAAAAAAAGTCTATTGCTATTTCGTTTAGCGCGACGAAGGAGGAGGAAGAGGAAGGAAATGATAAGGATAAAAGTGTAACATGGAAGGTGGAAAATACGCACAAAAATAAAAAAAAAAAAAACAAAAAAAAAAAAAAAAAAAAGGCTATTGCAATTTCGTTATGCACGTGTTGCTCATTGCAGAGAATGTTGCTTCTAAATCC